GTCAGAGAAAGATGACCTAAGAATCAGGGACACTGATAGCATCTATTTACACCATTTCAATTTTCAGTCAGACCTCTATGGTTCCTACAATTCCACTAAATCTAGCCACTTTTGGCATCAATATCTCAAAAGTTAACATTAATTTATTTACAGATGGAAAATTAGAATGGCATAAAAAGCCATAAACTTAAATTACTACATGTATATGTAAATAGTCTTCAGATGTACTAGAAATGTACGAAAATCGTATAATTCCTTCAAAAATATCTCCAATTTCTATAAATGCCTTTTCCACATATAGTGGAGCGGTTACAAGCAAAATTACATCAAAATATTTCACTTGGTGAAACAAGCATGAAATTTGGTTCAAATATTGGCCACATGGTACTGATTCAAAAAACATAGTTGGCCATGGCGATTTTTGCCATTTTCAAAATGGCTGCCACTAAAACAAAATGGCGACATTTGCCTTTAAAAAAGACATGGAACTTTCTAATAACAAGCTGAAGTTTATCAGGAATATGTCTAGAATAACATACCAAAAGTCCTCATTAATAATCTTAATTCGTTTTTTCGAAATCCAAGCTGGCAGCCAAAATGGTCGCCATTTCCCTAATTTCTCATTACTTTGCAACAAGATAACCCGAATACAAGAATATATGCTGTTTGTCGTAAGAATTACACAAGGAAATGTTCCACAGCGTCTACTAAGAGAAAATCTTGATGTCTTGGGGTAACGATGTCTGATAGTGTATGACAAGCATATGATCTGGTTGCAACTGATGCCCATGAAAATGGAACTTACTATGATAGAATATCAGATGCTCAGAACCATAGCACTTACAGTACCCAGAGTGGGAACAGGTGTTGCAGTAATCGTGTCACAGTAAGGGTTATTCATGCTGTGACAGTGTATGATTCGGACTCTGTAATCTACCGTTAGGGCAAGAGAAAAGCTGTCAATATAGTCGAAAAAGAAACGGGACTATGACTTGCTTGGTACCTCCACAGACCGTGGAAGTATCCATGATCCAGTATCTGGAGAAACCTCAATTCCAATGTCTAACGTCACAAAGCATACGTGGGCAATTAGTCTCTGAGTTTATTTCAGCTAGAAAGCCTAGCCCCAACTAGTATTGCAGTAAAGAAATTTTACAGTCCGAAAGGATAACTCTTTACCTCCAACAGGACGGGGATGTAATTTTACACCCGTTGAGACACACCTTGCTGAACATGGAAACATGTGGGATCAATCCAGGTTGTTGTAGAAGGATGATATGAAGGTGAAAGAAACTTTGACTCCTGTGTTACCTCAATGTGCAGTAAATGGAGTGGCCTCACCAACGCAAAAGTACATTGACACGTAAGATAAAGCATCTGGCCATTAGGATAATGAATGATATACCAGAAAGGTTGAGTCCTTTAAATCCATTTTTTTGGCAGAATATAAAGAAAATCGCTAAATACAATTGGAGTTTTTTTAAAACTTCTATCTTTATCATTTCTTTGTTTCTTGCACTGTTTTTACACCTCTGAGGTGTCTTTATCATTTTTCAAACTTCCTTGTATCTAGAAACAAGCTTTACATTTGCAGCTTGAATTGAGAGGATATTACAAAATAGTCGAAATATTCAGTTTTGTAGGTACACTTTTTTGTGTTTTGGGGATACTTCGTTTGAGAAAAACAGAAAATGGTGGCCATTTTGATTACCATCTTGGATTTTGGAAAAAGCTCTAGGAGATTTATTAGGACTTAAGTATGTTATTCTAGACATATTCGTGGACCTATCTGGACAAAAAAATTAGCATATTATGAGAAATATTCATGTTTATGGTTGGCAGATGTCGCCATTTTGTTTTTGGTGGCAGCCATTTTGAAAAAAGCCAAAATCTGAATGGCCAACAATATTTTCTATTCAGGTACTTCTGAAGGAAAGTTCATGCCAAATTTGGTGCTTGTCTCATCAAATGAAGTATTTTGTGTTGTCATCCCAAAAGATTATTTTGATAATTGATAATTTGACAATGTAAAAATCCTATAGATTCAGAAGCGTTCATTGTTGCTACATCGATTTATAAGATAGCTTCGCATAGCAAGGTGACATACGCCCACCAGCAGCTTTGATTACAAGTACAAATCATTGTTTGTAGCTTGTAGAGTGAGCACGAGCCACATGTGAACGGACGAGCGGATGACAATACGCTTCCATACTAGAAAAATTATAGGGATCGTTTTAATAATGACATTGAAACACAAAATAAAAAATCCGCAAAGAATTGTAGCCTTAAGAATGAGCACAAGCCAATGTTAACGGACGCACCGATGGGGATATTATAATATATACGCCCAAAACTATGTGTGTGAGTGTATAAAATCATTTTGAGATTCAACCACCATCGCCTAATTTCTATTTTTTCGGTCTGTTTCGAAATTAGAGCCTTCGACCCCCACCCTACCTCACAGCATAAAACTAAAAAAGATACGATTGCATACAAAGGTGATTCGGAAATTTTTCAAGTTACCCTCTTGATATTTAATTTTTCGTATGACCACCATCTGCCTGCACCAGTCTGCTTTCTTGAGGAGTGTGATTTCAGCTTCAAGAGCCTTGAAACATCGTGCCAGATCGTGCAAAAACTTAACAAATACTTTCAAATACAGTGAACAAATGCGACATGCGAGTGGAGGTAGAGTAGGTGCTACTTGCTGAAATCATACCCTCCAAAATACGGGTTGTAGTACAGCCAGATGGAGACCATACAATATATCAAATACTAAGAGAAAATTTTTTGTCTATATCTCTTTTAGTTTATGTGTAGGGGAGGGGGCACTAATTTCAGAACGCCTTGTATATTTTGGCTTTAATATTTCTTCGTAGTATTGTAAATCATGATTGTTTACTGACCTTTCCTTTGTCTTTTGAATACAAGTGCTTTAAACTACAAGCTCATTATTATATGACAAAGTTATACATTTTAGTCTTAAATTCTCAACAAACATGTGGTCTGTTTCATTACTCTGGAATTTAAAATGGTTATTTATCTTAGATTTGGTTTATTTTGCAGGTAGGTAAGAAAAATTCAGTTTAATTAAAATTAGATCAAACTTTCGTTCTGTTTTTATATTTGCTTTTATTTTTAATATAGCCACTTCAGTCCACCCTCACTGAAAATATATAGAAATAAAAGCTAATAAAAAAAACGATTCGAAAGATTTGTCTAATTTTATTTAAACTGGAAAAATTGTAACGATTGAATACATGTTAAAGGAACAGATTCGGCTTGTTCGGGGATGACTTGAGCCTTAAATATATGTAAATAGTCCTCAGAAGTACCAAGACTGTACGAAAATCGCACGATTCCTTCAATTATAGGCTAGGCTATCTCAAAAAAGAAAATTTCACTATTTATTTATTTCGTTTACAAGCTTATCTTCTCTCTGAAAATGATGGTATCCGAAAGTTGAACGTCTTTTTGATATCGCTTTTGGGTGCATTCGTATTTACTTCGGGACTAGCATGCTGCTAGTTACCCCTGTACATTAAACGGAGATCGTCATACTTAAAATAAAATAGTTCCGGTTGTTTCCGTTCACAATGACGTAATGTCAGTTACAATAACAAACTAGTTTGTGAATCTTTATTTATTTAGTGGTTACTGTATAATTTATATTATTTATGCATTATTGTTCATGAAATATTGGGTAGAATTTTTTTTAAAAATTAAAACTATTTCGTCTTTAGAATTTTTCAATTACATAAAGCCTTTCTTGTCAATCAAAAACCAATTTTTGATTGAGTTGTCTGCTCTTGCCCATTTCAAGTGACTCGTCTTTTTAACTTTCAAACAAAGATAATTATAGATACACACGGCTAAAAAGGTTCCAATTTTGACGATTAGCTGAAAATACTTTAACCGAAAGGTTAACTGAACAATTCCCGTCTCTGATACCAAGGCACGATTGACGCCCGATAATGGCAAGGTCACTTTAAGGTTAAATATAAGTATACAGAGAATTCGAAAAATGTAACTTAAAATTTTAACTACTTTCACCAACAAATTTAACTGTATCAAAAAATAAAAAGGTTTCGTGTTCGGTCTATCGTTACTGCGTAAATCGACATATTACGATAACAAGATATTCCTTTCATTTCAGATTGTGGTTATTTTGTTACTACGTCTAGACGTAAAGTGTCATATTTTCATAATGTTACAGAACAAAATCATTTGGTTTTTGCCTTAAAATCAGACAAGTTTTCTGAATTGCATTTATATAATGATCTATCCAAACTAGGTGAAATAGTGATCGGCAATAATGCTCCCAAAAAAAGTAACCTCAAAGTAGATTGTGGGTATATTGAGCACACACATACAAGTGATATAATAAGCCCGACAGAATACTCATGGTTATGGATACGATGGACCGGTACAGAACTAGAATTTGGTAAAGGGAAAATTCCTGGTGTAGATTTGATACAAGATCGTCTTTTCTCTGAAGTGGTCAAGTATATTGGATTTACAAAATATAGAGGAAACGAAGAATGTTATTGGATAATCGGTCAGACTAACGAACTTATAAATGGTAAGATAGGATAAATTGATACGATTTAAAGTCGCTTAGATACTTTTTTCTACATTAAATATCAAACCATACGTGTCAAAACGCAGCTGACGTGGTTTCACAAGGAGGAACACTTTTCAATTAAAACTAATTTGAGGCCACGCTTTTGTAGTGGTGCGTCGTAGAGATTTTGTATGGGGCATAGCTGACATATCCTATCAGATATCAATTATTCATCGCGTGATCCCTGATGATCCTTAGGCTACGTGGTCCTTACGTATTGGATCTTTCGCCATCTTATTTCAGTTTCATGGCCAAACGATGACTATCGTCAAGATGTTTTTAGGTTTGGGCCGCGATAGAGTTGGCTCTCCTCTTACGAAGCTGTTTCCCTCCTCGTCCCCAAAAGTGAAAATTTACTAATAAACTCACCTCTGGTTTAGAGAGAAGTATACGACAACCGACAAACTATTTTCTTGCCTCATTAGCCGTCTCGGATCTGCTCATTGGAACGTTTTCGATGCCCTTATTGACCCAGTATATATTATTAGACCATTGGTCACTCGGTCCCTGGCTATGTGATCTGTGGTTGGCTTTAGACTGGACTGTTTGTCTCACGTCGCAATATACCGTGTTTCTTATAACTATGGATCGTTTCCTCTCGGTGAAAATACCCGCAAAATACAGAAATTGGCGAACTGAGCGGAAAGTTTTAGTGATGATAGCTTTCACGTGGATATTGCCAACATTAGTGTTTTTCACATCCGTCATAGGATGGCAGTATTTTGTGGGTGAAAGAACTGTAAAGGAAGGCTCATGTGAAGTTCAGTTTATGAGCGACCCTTTATTCACATTTCTGTTAACTTTAGGATACTATTGGATAACTCTCTTTGTTATGTGCGTTCTCTACGCTGGAATATACAGAGT